TTCTATTAAATAGAGAGACACACAGAGTACCACAGATAGGGATAGAAACAGTGTGCACACAATTTCGTATCTTTTTTCCCACTTGGAAATAAATGGTTAATATTTTCCACATCATCAAATATCTTTACAACGTGCTTTTGATTAGTGGATTTGATAGCACTGCAGTTTATGTGGGCAAGTTCCCACCTTTGGTTATTCAAGTTGTTATTGGTTGTTGCTATTATACACATAGTAGAATAAACATCTTTGTACACTAATCAGAGTGATAGCTACATAGCTGGGTCACAGCATAGTCACTTAAAATTTGTGAATGCATTTGTTCAAATCTTCAAGAAATGTTAGTAAATAAAATGTTCAAGAAGCAGATAACTTTAGAGATTCTGGCCAAACTAGGTTGTAAGATAGAAAGCCATAAAAATTCTACCCAAATTTACTTTTGTGGGACAATATGGAGAGAAAGGTATTCATTTAAGTTTGTTTTTGGCTTTTATTGAAACCAGTTAGTAGATGTCATGTGAATGAGTTCCTAAGTCTGTGTATGTGTGTATGTGTGCGTGTGTGTGTATGTGTGTGTGTAATGGAAACTAACTCTCTAAATACCAGTGGTCAACACAGTAACTGAGTGGCTTTGAGTCTTATGTTTGCGACAAAATCTTGGTTCCAGGGTTGAGAATAGGTGTGACACACAACCAGACCAGGGACTAGTTCTGGAGAATCTGTAAGGCAGTGGCAAATTTGTGAGGGAGACAAAACATGGGTATACTGGTACTCAGTGCACTAGGCCATGAGCTAGCCTTGGCTGATGGAATCACATCATTGGAATCATTCTGAGTGACCAGAGTTCAGCTGGGAGATCACAGGGAAGAGGTGAAGCCCTCTCCCCTGATTGTGCAGCCTCAAAGATTTTAGATGTTTTCTGTGAGGCCTGGGACAAAACCAAAAGCAAATAGCTGAGATGGAGATTTCATGAGAGAAAAAATGTAAATGCACAGGAGCCTTCCCAATCTTGCATGTTATGTGTCTGAGTATAACAACTGGGGTAGAAGGGCCACTTAAGATAGCCAGTCTTTATTAAGAAGAGCAAAAATTTCCAAAAGAACCATTTTTCTGACAAGTTCCTCTGAAATTTACTTAAGTGAAGGTACATTTGATAAAAATAGCAGCTCCCTTCTCTATGCCTGGGTGCTAATGAGCTTGGCAGGCATTCATTCCTCACTTTGATATATTTGCTTTCCTCACCACACCTCTCTCTGGCGCTCCTGGGGTCCTGGGGTGTTGAAGTAAGGGTGGCTGGTGCTTAAAAAGGCTTTCATAGGTGAAAAAATATAGTGACGTAACAATTTCTTTTTTAGAAAATAGGAAAACGAGTGAGTAGAAAAGGTAATGTTTTATGGAAAGTGGAAGATCAACTTTAACTTACCTGCATACTTTGCAGAAACAGATTTCTATATTGTGGATATTTAGGGAAATCTCTGGGGTCAAAGGCATTAAATTAGGAAAACAGAATGACAGGCAACTAGAGAGCATTTACAAGTACAGGCTTCAGAGTCCCAATAAATATTCCACACGATGGTAACTATGATTATCTTTCAGATTCAAGTTTGATGCATCCATTCTGTATTTACTGAGCCCAACTACCAGTCAAATGCTAAATTAGCTACTCAATTCTTTCACTTTTTAGCAATGTGGTTGGGCAGTTACTTAACCTTGCTAAGTCTGTTTCCACATCTGTACAATGGGAATAATAAAAACACCTATTTCATTGGATTGTTGGAAGCTTCAAATTTTATTTTGTTTGGAAAGATCTACTCGCAATACCTGATACCTATTAAGTGTTCAACAGATGTTATTTCTCAATTATAATGACGATTATCACTGTGAGTGAGACTCTAGGTGATTGTATGCGACCACTGGCATGTTGAATTTATCGAAGCCCATTACGCAAGACAAAAATAAAAGAGTATAAAAAGAGGGCTTTGGGTAGAGAAGGAACGTTTCCCTGTCCCACAGTTTGTCACAGGTCAGTGCCATATGTGATGTGCAGGGAACACAAGATATTATCCAGGTTCTACACAGAAGAGGGTGGCAAAGGCAGGCAGGGTGTCAGACATCTTGCTGAAGGAGGAGCAGTTAAGAAAAGCCTTGCAGGAGGTAGAAAGCCCTTTTCATCTTAGAGTTTGGCTCTCTTACAAGAACTAAATAAACTACTTCCACCTGTGTAAATATTTACATTGCCAGCAAGATGCTGTCAGCCACATTCTCCAAAGATCTTCCCTCAACAACTTTGCAGGGCAGATTCAAAATGAGGTTTGAAGATGCTTTTTCTTCATTGTCAAGCAACCGGTGCAAAGATAGGCTTGAAACCAATGTCTGCTCTGAACTCAAACATCTTGTTACTAGAATGCCCTGCTTTTCCTAAACTGACCTCTTAAAAGTTCGTATGAATGCTTACATGCTTCAGGGTGTTTTCCTGCCCAGAAAGAAGTTTATTTTAACTTTAGCCAGATAAGAACACAGTAAAAAAAATCTAAATTTTTAGAGATATTATCAAATATATTGTAAAAACAAACAGAAATTTGAAAAGCATTGCTCATATTGTTACTTATTATCCATGACCCTGATCTTGGCTCTTGATGAGCATAAGAGGGAGCTAATCACAGTTTTATTTTATTTTTTTATTTTGTTTTTTTTTCCGGTACCAGGAATAGAACTCACAACCTTGCACTTGCCAAGCAGGACTGTGCTGCTGAGCTAAGTCCCCAGCCCCACAGTTTTATTTTATTAGTAGGCTTGTTGGGCATCATCATTGGACCCCTGTATTCAATTAATAGATCTGAAACTCTATTTAAACAATGCCTGACATACAGTATAAATTCAACAAATTCATATTTTTGTCCTGAAAACTGATAAATTGTTAAATAAAACATTAATAGTTCATGTTTATTGTGTGTTTGTTAAGAGTTTTGTGTGTAAAGGCTATACTTTCAGGGATTGTTTCTACAAATAATGGCAGAAAACTTCCCAAATATGGATAAAGAATTTGGCATACAAATAAATGAAGCATAAAGAACTCCAAATAGCCATGACCAAAATAAATTTAGAACAAGGCGCATAGTAATCAAGATTTCAGAAATTCAGCACAAGAACAAAATATTAAAAGCTGCTAGAGAAAAGAAACAAATCCCCTATAAAGAAAACCCGTCAGAATCACAGCAGACTTCTCAACACAAATCCTCAAGTTAAGAAAAGTTTGGAGCAAGCTATTTTAATTCCCAAAATAAGAAGCTTGTGTGTAATCATACATTTGGTAATCATAACAACATTTTAGAGAAGAATCTCCTCAGTAACTCAGAGAGGGTAGAGTGTTTAGGGGTAGCATAAACTCAGTTTTGCCTATTTGTGTATTTTTATGTAGAAAATTCTATAAGGAATTTACCTATCTCTGAATGATAGGATTTGGGGAAAATTTAAATATAAATTTAACATATGTTTTTTATAACTTTAATGCATTTAAATACTTAGGATTGTAATTATGATGTATAATTCATGAGACTTTTAGCTTACTGCATTTAGATGACAGTATGGGTCTTAACATTGTCTAGGTCTCCGGGGCTTAATCCTGTCCACAGATTTGTCAATTCTTCAAATATGAAAATCTTGTAACAATGAAAGTATGAATGAAAATATGCAACAATGAAATCTTGAAACAATGTAAGTATGCATATTATTAATGTCCAAACTTGGTCTGACATGCTAATTTACGAGTTCTTGTGTGGAAGATACTTTTATATTCAGCTTAAGACTCTACACAGACTCAAACTGAGTGATTAGCTTGCCCATGGTCACAAGATCAGAACCCTGTGTGTGTATATTAGTAAAGTTTCCTACTTCCATTTCCCCCTGAACTCTAATAATGGGTTTAAGGGAGCACAGGAGAAGCAAGAGCAGAGATAAAAGTTCAAGCCATGACTATTAAAGAGGAGGAATTTCCTTCCCCACTGACAATCCTAGAATCCTGTGCCTTTAGCTGAGGTGAGAGGTACTGCTCTGGGAAGCATGAGATAGCTGTAAAGGTAGAATCTATAGTGAGATTAGCCAAGTAATGTTGTGGGATAATGGTGATGTTAGGGAAGAAAACTTTCTAAGGCATGTTTGACAAACATTTGAGGAATTCTAAAGAAGTCACACCTCTAGTTAGACTTGGTCTCAAATAATTACGGTAGGGGAAAAATTTCTCATAGTCTTCCTGGCTAGCCTACTGGCTTTCTTCCTTTCTTCCTTTCTCTCTTTCTCTCTTTCTCCCTTTCTTTTTCTTTTTCTTTTTCTTTTTCTTTTTCTTTTTCTTTTTCTTTTTCTTTCTTTCTTTCTTTCTTTTTTCTTTCTTTCTTTCTCTCTCTCTCTTTCTTTCTTTCTTTCTTTCTTTCTTTCTTTCTTTCTTTCTTTCTTTCTTTCTTTCCTGCTTTCCATTCAATGATTGCATGGGGGTTTTTGTCTTTTCTGCCAGAAGAGGAGGAAAAGAAGCTCTTTGTAAATTTTTTCATCCCAAGGTTAAAGTTTTAAAATTACTACCCCTTTCAAAAAACAAAATAATAACAATAACACTTCAAAAAAGAGAAATGTGAAAGGTTAATCCAAAGGAAGAAGTTGTTGGTGTCAGTGAAGGAGATTTTTTAGGTTGATATTTTCAGTTTACTCAATACCACAATGGGACCTATTATAGATTTTATGAAATTGATCAGCACTCTTGGAGATTCATAGGCTCCCAGGACTGGAGGGGTATTTTGTTCAACTAGTCCCAGCCTCTTCTTGTACATCTAATTTCCCTATACAGCATCCTTTACACATGGCTGCACACACCTGTGTGGTGAGGAGCTAGTTTCCTTTGAGAGAGGCTGTGCTCCTCTTCTGACAACTCTGAGTGCTTTAAAGTTCTCTGTGGTGAGTGGATATTGGTATCCCTGGAACAGAGGCACTTTTCAAATAATAGATTAATAGTTTTTATTCTCTAGTTTCTTTCTATTCAGACTTACCCAAGAAGTTCTCTGTCAGAGCAGAGTCCTGGAACAAATTTTACTGCTGCAATGCTTGAGACAATGTGCCCAGTAAGGAGGAAAGAATCTTGAAGTTGGAGGGGTTTTTAGTTGGAAAAGGCAGGGCACAAAGATGGCTCTGTATTGTGAGAGGACATATGTACTAGAGTCAGCAGTCCTCTCTCTTTGCCAGGAATACAAATCTAATTCTGGAAAAAATAGAAATAACATATTAAAATATAAGTACCAAGAGCATCATTTACCCCCACTTCCAGGCAATAATAATTGTACAAGGTTTGTATCTGGAAAATATGAGCAAATTTGGTTGTTCATTCAAATCAAATCGCTATTAAATAACTACAAATTCCATATGCTCTTTTTTTCTGCTTTGGTTGCTAGTCACAGAGAATTTATGGGAAGCTTTCTAAGTCTGACACATTTTTGCATGTGAATTATAAATATTAGTGGATTCTTTTCAGAAGTGACTGTCATTCAGAAATAAATGCTGAATGAAGCTTTCCTCCTCAAGAGAAAAATCTGAACTTAAGTATGAGGTGTGGGAGGCCAGCCACCAGGTATGAGGAGGAAAGAAGAAGAGATGACAGTCTTTTAAATAGTGCAGTCAACAACATGCCTCACCACTCATAATCTCCTTTGATCCTCACAGCTTTCTCGTGAGGCAGGTATTATGGCTGGCAGCTGGCTTCATCCCATAATAAGATTCTGGGCACCAAAGAGCAGCGATGGGAAGAGAAACCCCAGGGACCAGGAACCTCCTGGGAATGACTCTCACTGTCCTTGGCAGCTCTGGGCTGGCCCCTCATTGGGAAAACGTGTACCACCACCCTTCTGAATGCAGCCATTTCATTTCTTATCTTGGTTTACTCAGTGCTGAGCCAGTGGTGCTTACATAAATGTCCTTCTGGCATGAGGGAGACAGAGAGAGAGAGAGAAAGGAAACAGCAGCTGTCAGCAGAGTGTCAGGCTGGGGACCTGCCATCTCATTGAACAAAGCTCCGGTCAGCTCCAGCACTGTCCTGGGTGCAGCTGTAATCGGGGGTGATGGGACTATCCCCAAACACAGGATCACTTCCTGTCCTTATAGAGAAGAGGGAGAGAGAGTCCTTCAGTGGTTACCAAGGTGTCCCTTGTGAATCATTAACCAGAGGCAGCAGGACCAGAGCTAGGTCAAAACAAGTAAATCCTGATACTGAGGTCTCTGAAGACACATCTTAGATGCTAACATTTGAGTATTAATCATACCTGGTTAACACAGATATTCAATATGTTTTACTGGTGGGGGCACTGTGTTTTGCATTTCTTTTAAATCTAAAGAGTCAATATTTGATAATTTCCATGGGAGCAGGAAAAGTCTCTCTCTCTCTGTCTTTCTCTATGTCTCTGTCTCTGTTTCTCTCTCTCTTTGTCTCTCTGTCCCAATCTGTGGCTGTCTGTCTGTCTGTCTGTCTCTCTCTCCTCCACCTCCTCCCCTCCTGCCTATGATGGCACTGTACACTCATGTACACTGCATGGCTTGGTGGCTTAGCTTCTAGAGCTCAAGGTCTCTTCTTTTTTTGTTGTACTCTATGTAGGATCATCACACAATAGTACTTTAGAGCCTACTTCAATGCCTGAAATCCTACCAAGCTTTATTTTGTCTTTTTGGGCTTGTTTTTCTAATATTGTTTTGTTTTCTAATATTGCTTGAATGGTCATCAAGAAATAAGGCTAGTGAAAGTGAGCAGTGGTGGAAGCTGATTGACATGTACATGGGGAACCATAGTACAGTACTGTTCTACTTTGTGTGTGTAAAAATCTCCATGACAAAAAACTTTCAAAAGGCAAAGCTTCAAGATGGCTGGACTTGACTGAATCACAAGAGTAGAAGTCTGTACAAGCTGTGGAGCACTGACTTCCAATCCTCCCTGACAATCTAGCTCTGTCACCTCCCAACAGGAATTTAATGAACTACGTGACCTTACTGAGACTTCCTCATCTGTCAACTCCGAGAAAAATTAGCTACCTCCTCAAGTTTCTGGCAGCCTTAAAAGACACATTTTAATGATCGGTAGACAGTCATCTTTGTTGTTATTGTTTATTTAACATTGTGGTACTGGGGATGGAACCCAGGCCTCAAGAATATTAGGCCAGTGCTGTACCACTGAGCTGCCTCCCTAACCCCTGTCTTTTGTTGTTTGTGTTTTTTTAAGGGGGAATGCAGTATAAGGACATAATGGTGTTTTAAAACTCAAGGATACGAGTTTCAATTCATAAGTGAATTGAAATCAGACCCTAAGGTCATAAGGACCATACTGGGCTCATACCTCTGTGCTTCTATACACGATGTTCCACTCTGCTGTCAGCTGCAGACCAGCCTTCTCTGTTTGACGGCTCACACAAATGAAAGCTTCACTTGTCAACAGTAGCTCCAGGCTTGTATCTTCTCAGTTCAACTGAATGACCAGGTTGAAACTGGAGCTTTTGATCTGGATTCCGAGTTTTTTCTGAGGCAGATCTTTTATGCTGTGCAAGTAAGAGGTATATGTTTACATCCAACAATGAAGACCAAGGGCTAGAGTCCTGCCGTGCTACATGCAAGTTCCCAGGGTAACCATATGGATGGAGCTGTCAAGGAGATGTCCTCAGAAGAATGGAGAGTAAGCTCCAAATCTAGTTTGGATGGAGCCACAATGGTCCTAGACAGACAAAATGATGAGTCAAAAGACAAAATGCTTAGAACCTACTAGTAACTGGTAATTAGTGGCTCTTGCTCCTTGGAACTGGCCTATGTCCATATCTGCATGGCAATGTCTTAGGTTAGCTCAACCAACAGAAAGGGAAAAAGAACTAGAATTCACTAGTTCCTCGTGGCAAAGTGCCTAGTACGTGTCAGGCAAAGGGAGTACAGCAGTAGGAAAAAGGAGACAAATTTCTCTATTCGCATGTGAGTTGTAAAAGGGCAGTAAAATAATAAAAACTAAAATATATAAGACAAAGGACCTTGGATAAAAATTAAGCAGGGAGGTAGAAAGGATGTTCTAGGGATGGTAATGATAAAAAAGGAGTCAATAAAAAGTGTCATTTGAATAATAACATGAAGAAAATGAAGGAGTAAGCTCTGTCCTTTTTTGAAACAAGATCATTCTAGATAGAGGGAACAGCAAGGACCAAAGTCCAAAGTTAGAAAGAGCAGCACAAAGTCCAGTAGCTAAAATGGAATGAGACGAAGCATAATAAGAGATGTCTTTCACCCTGATCTTCGGAAGTTTTCTACCTGGGCAAGAGAAATAGAGGTTTGGTAAAATACTAATTGTAGTGTATTGATAACTGGTGGTCAACTTATAACCCCCAGCTGAACTGAGTAAGTGTGGTGCTGGGTGTGGGAGGCCCACCTGGGGACTGTTGCCAACAGCATAAAGGCAGACCTGGAGAAGAAGAAGCAGGCTGTTGGGA